TCAAAGCCAAGAAAGGTTCTCACAATCGCACAAGAGATAATATGGGGTTTGAAATGAAAAGGCTTAGGTTTAAGGTGTGGTAACTGTCTCAAAGATGAGATCAGCTATCTGGACAAGCAAAGGGATATGAAAATAGGTAAAGAATGTCCAGATATGTATGTGGTAGCCATGAGTTGAAATCAAATGCAAGCATTGGTAATTAAAGATCAAGTTATGGTTCAAATAGATAGGGAATGCATCAAATCACAGCAATGGTTGAATGAGATGTGCATGCAGTGATATGATCAAGATAAACATGGTTCTTGTTGCTCAATCAATCTCACCCTAATGCACAAGAGAATCTAGAAATAGGGCACTCAATAAATCGCAAATGATGAACAAGTTTTCAAGATCAAATCAACAATGCAAGTGAAAATGATGCAATCCTAAACAATTCTAACAAATATGAATGCAAAAAGATGAAAATATTTTTGGATTTTTTGAAAATTTTATGATTTTTTTGGTTTTTCTATGCAAAAGATGAATGAAAAACTAAGAACAAAGAAAACAAGGTTAAATCATCTCTTGAACCCTCCCCCAAACTTAAATCACACAGTCCCTTGTGTGAGAAAAATTTAGTGAAAGATTCAAGAGGGCAAAACCAAGAAAAAAACAAAACAAATGCAAGAAAATATGAAATGGTATATACAAGGGTTGGTGTTTGGATACCTCAGTGCCCCCCAAAGAACTGGGAGGCAGGTCGTGGTCTGGAGATGGTAGACGGCCATGGAGCTGCCTCACTCGATCGAGCTTGTGGCTCCTCTTCCTCCTCTTCTTCATCGTTGAAAGTGTGTGTGGCTTCCTTGGCCTTGGAGGAGCTGCGCTTGCTCGAAGCGGTTGTAGGGAGTCCAGAGAGTCTGAGAGAAGTCCTGGTACTGGGTTGAATCGTACTCGAATCCCAGGGTTCTCAAACAGGGGCTCCTCCAGGTCAACTCGACCCTCAGCTCGATCGAGTTGAGTTTCCTCTGTTTGGACTCGATCGAGTCCGGTGGTCGAGTCGAGCGTCTGGCCTTGGAACTCTTCCTCCTTCTCTGCGTGTTGTCTTCTCCTTCTCCCTTGGTCAAATGAAGAGGCCCTGTGAGGCTCTTGTGGGAGGGAGCCTTCTTGGAGTGGTGAGGAGTGATCTACTCCTAGGGAAAGTGGGAGCCTTGGACTTCTTCTTCTTGCTTGAAGAACCAGAAACTTTCTTCTCCAAGCTCTTGATCTTGCTCACCATCTTGTCCATGGACTTTTGCATCTTTTCCATGGCTTTCCCTTGCCACTTGTTGAACCTTTGGAGAAGTCCAATCCTCTTGTGGGCAGCCACAACAGAGGGGTTCATCCTAGGAGCCTCATACTCCTCAAAGTAGTAGCACTCAGGCTCACCCAAATCCGCATTCACATGGCGTTCCTCAACTCGATCCTCAGCTCGATCGAGTTCAGGCTCCTCTTCTCGCAAATCCTCTTCATGCCCAACTAATGTGTAAAGTGGGGGGCTGAAGTCAATGTTGGTACCTCCTAGAACCGTGGGTGAGCTCAGGGTTGGGCAGAAGAAGCTTGGAGGGGCCAGCCAAAGGATGAGTGAATTTGAATTGGAACCTCCCATCCAACTCCTTGTGTTCAATGAAGAGGTTGGTCTTGCAAAACTTAAGATCCATCCATCCTGCTGGAGTAGACCTTCTCTTGTCCAAATGGACTCCAGCTGCACAGAGGATAGGCGTGATGACTCCTCCAACACTAAGCTTCCTTCCCGTTTGAAACGAGTGCTATAGGCGGTTGTCTTGTAGGAGAGTAGCTGGTCAATGAGAGGCATGAGGTTCCCTGCATGGATTCTATCTCCCCTGATTTTCTTCCCATCCTTGGTGCGTGAGATGATGGGCTTGATTCCCATGTCAAGGAGCTTCACTTCTCCCTCATTTATTGTCCCAGTCGCCTTCCTTGCAAAGAAGGTGTTGGCGAGAGCCTTGTGCACATATCTCAACACTGGGCTCCTGATTTGAGCTGCCTTAGACCGTGAGGAAGAGTATTCCATCAGCGATTGTAGCCCAAACCCTTTGTAGCTCATCCTCCTTGATATCCCAATGGGTTCCCTCCCCATAAGTGAAACCAAAGAGGATCTCCAACTGCCTGAAGGTCACTGCCTTCCTTTCTCCTCTTGCCAAGAACGTGATCCATCCCCAACCTTGATCCAACTCAGCTCGATCGAGCTGCTTGTACTTGTGGAACCTCATTGATGCCAAGAACTCACAAGTGAGCTCCTTGTATGACTCCAAGCGGTAAGAGAAGAACTTGGCCAGGCGCATGTTCTTGAGGACCATCCACATCATCAAAGATCCCAAGAGCCTTCATTGTGTCATCATGTGGGTACTTGGTCTCCACAAAGTCCATGGAGAAGAGAGCATCATAATGCTCTTGGTACATGGGGAGCTCATCCTCTTCTTCCTCTGACTCCTCCTCTTCCATGGGCACATTCTCATTGCTCTCATGCTCACTCTCCTCAATCTCTTGATTGACCTCTTCACCTCTTCTTCACTTGGGGAGTCATCATTCTCCTCATGTGGGATGTTCACTCCAATTTCAAACTCTCCTACTTCGCTCTCACTGCTGAGAGGATCATTCCTTCTTTTGGTTCTCCTCTCTTCCCTCACCCTCTCAATCTCTTCCTCATCCTCCTTGGTTAGTGTCTGAGTATCCTCCTTGCTCCTCTTGTTATCTCCCTTCTTTGTGAATGCTGGCTTGCTTCCTTCACCTCTCAACATCTTAGAACTTGCTTCTTGAAGTTGGGTTCCTGAAATGCATCAAAAACTCAAAGGAATTAGAGTTGTAATCGTTGGTTCGGCCAACTCGACACTCAACTCGATCGAGTCAAAAAACTCGAGTGACAAACTCGATCGAGCAAGGTGAAAACAGAGTATAACCGAACCTAATTCAAACAAGAGCTGGAAAAGATGCTAATCAATCAAATTGAACCAAGAACAACTAGTAAATGGAACAATAAGCAATTCTAGTGAAAACATAGCAACTAACCATTACCAAACTCAAATTCAATTTCAAGCACATGCAACAAGTTCTAATGATAAAACAGAGGTGAGGTGAGGCAAATTCACAAGATTATACAAGAAGCAAAAAGAAAGCAATTACTCAAGGATAACAAGTCCTCAAGGGACACATGCAATCAAAAATCAAGAGGAAACAAGCAATAGGAATCGAGATGAAGTAATCAAGGGTTTCAAGGGTTCATACCTTGCTTGGAATGATGGATTGAAGAGCAGTAAACTAAGAACAAGCAAAGCAAGATGAAGAACAAAGAAATCGCAAAAACTTAAGAGAGAAAGGAGAAATTCGAAATTTTTCTTGTGGTGAAGAGAGAGAGAGATGATTTTCAGAAATTTTAAGTGTGGGAGAGTGGAGAAGGGGTTCGATCGAGTTATGGGGAAGAGAGTGTTTGAGATGTGTGGTTGAGATTAAAAGGTGAAATAAAGAGGGGACAAGAAGCTAGGGTTTCTGATCAATTGGGTAGTGGGGGACCAAAATCAGCTTGTGGGACCCACTCCCTTGACCAAGAAAACGGTTATGAATTTGAAATTCAAAAACTTACCTCGGTCGAGTTGTGGAACTCGATCGAGTTGCCCTGGTTTCTAGCTCGATCGAGCTGTCGGTCGAGCTGGCTCCTTTGACACCTAAACTTAACTTATTGAAAGGTTAAAACACATAAAGATAGAGAAATTGCATAAATAGAATATGTACAAGGATAAACATGGGACTTCCTCCCAAGTGAGCTTGTTTAAGGTCCCATAGCTTGACCTTTACCTTTTAGGCATTGGTTGAGCTAGTCCCACCATCAAGGGTGATAGTGAGGACTTGAGACAGAAGCTCCTTTAGCTTGGTTGGGTCCCTGGACTGTTCTGAAGTCACCAAGGCCTTGGCTCTAGAGAATGGCCTTGATCTCCCCTTGTACCTTATCTTGTACTCAATCTTCCCATTTTCAAACTTGGTGGGGAACAAGGTCATTGTGAGCTGAGATGGCTTGACTGAAGGGGCCTGAGCTGGTGGATCCTTTCTTTTATCTCCTGGTCTTGCCTTAGAGGCTGCATCCTCCCCTTCTTTAGAGCCCTTCCTAGTGGCTCATCAAACAAAGCTTGAAGGCTCTCTTCATCAAGCACACAAGGGGCTTGAACAAGTCTCTCAGCTCTTGGCCTATCAGATCGTGGTTTCTCAACTCTAGCCCTCTCAAGACGTGGCTTCTCAATCCTTGGTCCTCTCTCATCCTTATCCTTCCCAACTCTTGGTTCCTTGTCAACCCTTTCCTTCACAACCTTTGTAGCTCCATGACTCTTAGAACTGAGATTGGTACTGTCAATTGTGGCACAAAAGTCTGAACCTCTAGGCTGCAAGCGATATGACACCAAACTATTCACCTTGTGAAGGATCACTTCTTGCTTGTGAAAGTCTATTGAAGCGCCAACTGTACTAAGGAAAGGGGTTCCCAATAACAGAGGCAAATCCTTCTCTTCTTCCATTTCCATCACAGTGAGATCAGTTTGGATGATGCATTCTCCAATTTTCAAGTGATAGTTCTTGAACACTCCAAGAGGAGACTTAGAAGTTGCATCTCCAAACATGATTGAAGTAGTAGGGCGCTGCAAGGCTCCAGCAATGCCTAGCTTCTCTGCCATGGAGAGAGAGATCAGATTGATGCTTGCTCCAGAATCCACTAAGGCATTGTCAATCTCAAGATGCCCAAGTGTGCAAGGGAGAGTGAATTTCCCTTGATCCTTGACCTTTGGTAGGAAGGTGGGTGAAGTAAGCAGGTTGAACTGATGAGTAGACTCTTGTAGGACCTCTGAAACTTTATCACTGTTGGCTAGAACATCCTTGACCATTTGCATTTGATCAAATGCCTCACTCATGCTATCCATAGAGGCAACTCAATTCCAATCCCACTGAGATCTCTTCTGAACTTGTGAATCACTTCCTTGTGACCTTGACTAAGTAGGCGAGACGAGGAAGCGGCAACCGGTTGATAAGGATCAAGCAAAACAGGTTTGGACAGAAGAGGTCGGACTCGATCGAGCTAGAGTTGGACTCGATCGAGCTGCCGATCGAGCTTGTCGTGCGAGCTCAACTGGTGAAGTGTGAATGGCCACAGTAGGTGCATGCACTTCTGGTTGATCAATCTGGACTCCAGGAGCCTCAGCAGCAACAATCTCTTCATCATTCAGCAGTAAACAAAAATCTTCAATGACCCTTTCTTGATCCTCTTCTTCAACAAGTCCTTCTTGAGTGAAGATGACCTTGCACTGTTCCTTGGGGTTCTGAATAGCTTTACCAGGTAGTTGTCCTTGCTTTGTAGCAGCAGCAACAGAAGAAGCATGATTCTCCAGAGAGTAAACCCTTGTGTTGAGGTTCTCGATCTTAGAGTTTATTTCAGCTAGCTTCTTGCTTGTGTCCACTACCCCATCAGCTTGCCCTTGAAGTAGTTGCTTTAGCATTGCCTTGAGCTCATTCTCTTGTGAAGGTGCAGGCTGGGGTGGTTGGTGGGGAAAGCCTGGTGGGATATTCATTTGTTGTCCAGGGAAAGTGCCTTGTGGTCCTTGGTAATTGTTCTTTTGACCATACCCATGTTGTGGCTTGACTCGATCGAGCTGCTTGTTGTTGAGGATAGACTTGGTCCTGAGGGTTAGCAACATCAGTGTTGCGGTATGACATGGCAGGGTTGGACTTGTAATTATAGTATCCTTTGTTGTAACCTCCTTGCCCATTGCTCATGTAGCACACCTCAGCAAATTGTGTATCCTCCCCTTCTTGGACTGGTTCCATCTCCTCAGCAGACACAAAGTTGACTTTCTTCATTGTGGACTGAGCTAGGATCAGCTTATCCAACTTCTCATTCAATGCCTTAACATCTTTTCTCAACTTTTCGTCTGACTCGATCGAGTGGTGGGTCGAGCTCCGGTTGGTGCGATCATACTCTTCTCCATAGCTTCCATTTGAGTTAGCTATGTTCTCCACAAGTTGCCAGCCATCATCTACATCCTGGTTGAGGAAGTTCCCATTGCTAGCTGTGTCTAGCATCTCCCTATACCTAGGCAAGCATCCTCTATAAAGAGTGGAGAGTAGTGATTCATTGTTGAATCCATGGTGTGGGCACTGACTTGTGTAGCCTTTGAACCTCTCCCAAGCCTCTGCGAATGTCTCATTGTTTCGCTGGATGAAGCTGGATATCTCTCCTCTAAGCTTGGCTGTGCGACCGGTGGAGAAAAACTTAGCAAGAAAGGCCTTCTTGCATTCATCCCAAGTGGTGATTGTGCCATGGGGCAAGCTCTTCTCCCATTGGTGAGCTTTGTCAGCTAGAGACATAGGAAAGAGTCTCAGCTTGATGGCATCTTCAGAGACACCATTGATCTTTGTCAAATCACAAAGCCTATCAAACTCATCAAGGTGGTCAATGGGGTCTTCACTTGGCAATCCATGGAACATCTTGTTCTGGACAAGGTTGATCATTCCCAGCTTGATCTCAAAGTTGTGGTTCTGCACTGGTGGTGGAACAATCCCTTGTCTCTGTTGGTGGCGGTTTGGAGCATCTCCTTGACCAATCGGTCGAGTTTGCCTAGCTCGACCGAGTCCATTGCCCAAAGGGTTTCCATTCCCCTCTGGTACATCCATTGTATCAGCAACAAGCACCTCAGGTTCCTCTTGTACCCTCTGTGACCTCTGAACCCTCTTTCTACCCGTTGTAAGTCTAGCTCGACCAAGTCTTCAGTAGACCGACTCGATCGAGTTCGCATACACCTGCAAAAAGAGACAAAAACCCAGCAGTACAATAGAACAGGGGTGGTATAGCTTGATCGTCCAAGTGTGTTTGAAACTCAAATGCAACAAAAATATTCCCAAATCGGCAACGGCGCCAAATTGATGATAGGATTTTGTGTGATGTGAAGTGATATGAAATGAGGTGGAATGCAAACAGGGTAATAAAGATGATGGTATGGTGCAATCACAATCAATCAATTCCTCTTAACCATCATAGTCATTGAAGTATAAGAGGTTATCAATCCAAAATGGGAAACTTGTCACTCTTTGAGAATATGAAACAACCAGAAAGTCAAGCAAGCAGTTATAGATTTGAAGTAACACTAACAACCTAAAAATAATGAAAAGCAGTGCAATAAAAGTAAACAAAGCAGTGAAGTGTCAGCTCGACCAAGAGCTCGAGTCGAGTAGAGGAAAGTACCAGCTCGATCGAGTTTACGAGTTGAGGCTAAAGGTGACGACTTTAACAAGATAAAGAGAGAATTAGGGTTCAAGACAGGGTTTTGCAATCAAAGGAATCTACACTTAATCAATCTAGCTCTTAAAACTCCTTGTATCAAGGCTTCTCTTGATATTGGGCTTCTCAATGCCTAGCCAACCCTTTCCCAAGGTGGAGGCTATCAACCAAGGAATGATCTCAGAAACAGGGGGTTAGCCAGTGAGAATCAAACCTTGGAGGCCATTAGACCTCTATGTCTAGAGCAAGAGATATTGGAGCTCTTAGTGGATCTTTTCCAGCGAATGCCATCACTTTCGTGTGGGGAGTCGCCTAAGGACTTACAAGCCAGGGGTAGTGGTCATGTAGCCTTAAGATCTATCCAAAAGAGAGAGAATCTAGATTAAGACCATAAGCTAGAAGGATTAAGCATATGAAACCTCTAATCTATCCCATCTCAAACCCTAATGGGTAACTACTCACTACACATGAATGTAAACACAAGCAAATGCAATAAAAGAGACATCATAAGAAAGAGGAGATGAAATTAAACAACTTTTATTGAAATAAGCAAGTGCAAATACAAAGAGATTATCCAGGATCTAAGATTCAAGAAGCAAGAGCTTCAAGAACACAAAGATGGGATTAGATCTCTAAAAAGTAAAAGACAATAAATTAAAAGAAACTAAAACAAAATAATCTAAAGCTTGGTGGTTTTTTCGTGGCTTAGAGCCTTTAAATACAAGAGGATTAGGTTTAGGGTCAAAGGAAAGTCAAGGGGGAAGCAACATTTTTCGGGTTTGACTTTGACTTCCAGCTCGATCGAGTTGAAGCTTGGCCGGTCGAGTTGAGGAACTCGACCGGTTGGTCGAGTAGACGGTCGAGCTGGTCTTCAAGATGGCTTCTCCCTTCTTCCTTTGCGTATCCAGTTGAGCTGCTTCCATGTGCCAAGTCCCTCCATGCTCCTTGTCCCATATGCTCCAGAATGCTCCAAAAGACCTATTTCAAAGGACCAAACATGCATATGTATGCAAATGCAACCTAAAACTAACATGAATGCATAAGAAGAGAAAAGGAACAAGATATGATGCAAATGGAAGCTAAAACTATGCAAAAGATGCATAAAAGATGTGCTAAAACTATGTAAAATGCAAGTACATCAACCACGCACGAACGCGCCGTCCGACCCGGGAAACTACGTCCCGCGTCCGACCGAGATTTCATCGGCCAAGTTTTCACCCGTCCGACCACATCGGCCGACCACGCATCCGTCTGGCCCCGACCGTTCCGACTCGGCCAGAACCCGATTGTCCGGCCGATCATCCCGACCGACCGTCCCAAACTTATGTTTTCAAGCCCTTTTTGAAGCCCAAACTTATGTTTTCAAGCCCGGCTTAACCCTAGCCGCCTCTAGAAAAGACCTAGCATTATATATATGGATTTTTAGCCTCTTGAGAAAGAGAACCGCCTTGTATTTCGATTTCCTACTCTAAGTTTTATTGCAATCATGTTTTCTTCATCTCTATGTGTGTTTGCTTTGATCATGTCTGAGTAATCCACTAGTTAGGTTGCTAGGGTTACTATTCAATGAGTTGCTTGCATGATCTTTGATTTCAATAATTAGCTAGGGATTATATTAGAGTCTTTGTCTCGTCTTGTGCGAGTGATTTACACTATGGGTGACTTTTTGAGTTCTCTTTACAAAAAGAGGGACTTATTGAAACTGGTGGACTTTTTTTTGGAGCTTAGTGTGTTAAAAGTTCGAATTTACCCTTACTATAAAAAGAGTGAAAATATGATTACTTTGGATGGTTGGTGGTGGATGGTATTTGACGAATTTGTACACTTACATTGTTGGATATGTACAATTGAATTTTGTACACTTACATCGTTGGACTTGTACACTAATGCTGATTGCTTTACCGCGCATCTAGTAATCCGATCTTAGGTTGATTTGAGCCTCGACAGTGCTGTATCATTCGCCGGACATATTCTTTGACAAGCTAGGTTTCTTAGACTGCGAAAGTTGATCTCTCTATATCTAGTGAACTGTATCAGAACCTATTCATTCTAATGCTTGATCTAATCACCTAGGGACATACCAAAAGTTTAGCGACTAGGTAGATTAGCAAAGGAGCCGGAGCCTCGAAAGTGGAATGGTTTTATATTCGTGATCTGTGTTCTAGATGGTTCTTAATATCCCAATATCCCTAATCAATAATCTATCATTGTTTCCTTGATCATTGCTTGCATCTCTGCGATAGCCCCTATGACCTAGCGCTTTTCCTTTATTGCTTACAACCTCGATTTACTTGCTAGTTCGGTTCACCATTACAACCTCAAACCAATACTTTTGTTTTAGCTTGATCCAAAATCCATAGTTACAAAGTGTACTCAATAGCCAGTCCTTGTGTTCGATACCCATACTTCCGCGATCTGTGCACTTGCAGAGGTCTAGGAGTTTGGTAAAACCTGACTCCGCATCATGTCCCAATTGGGTTTTTCTGTACCAATGTTTTAATGAGGCGGCACGAGTCAGCATTCAGCATGCACTTAGTCATTAAAGTCAGGTCGGCGTGGCATATTTTTATTAAAGATTCTTAAGCTCCCTCTTTATTCATGAAACTCGCCGAGATCAAACTGCATTTAACTTGCCGAGCTGGGGGGGACTTATTGTTAGAGGAGAAATTAGCACATTTCCCTGAGCTGGTCATCATTAGTAAAATCGTAAAGCCCAATCCGACTTTAAGCCTAACCTCCTCAACAAAAAGGCAAGACTTGAGGAAAAGGCACGATCCATGAGAAAAAGTAAACAAACCCTCATGCCGACTTGAAGAATGGAAGGAAATCAAGAACAAGAGAAAGTTTTCTATATCGCAAAAGAGGAAGTTTTCCATCTCGCCGGAAGGAAAATATTCATCAATCAGCCGACCTATCAACAATATATATTGAAGACCCCCCATTCGTGAAAATCATCTGAGATCATCTAGAATAACTAGGCTTTGCACCCCCTTTACTTTCATCTCAGTTTTCCTCTTGTTCATCATAGTTCATCTCGCCAAGCTTGTCGGCGAGATAACACCTTTTTGTAATCTTCCCGATATTCTTCGAGTTTCCTAAACTCACATCTTTGGTAACCCGTTTTAGCGAGTGCTATCTCAGATCTAACACCCATCACATATTGTGTTGAGGCTTTGAATATGGATGCTCATTTGTTTAACATTCTCACTTCCACTACCATTCAAAATCATATTCCTTATACTCGTTTATTTCATAAACCTGTCACATATGATCACCTTCAGGTATTTGGTTTTTTATGTTACCTTAACTTGCAGCTACTTCTAAGCATAAGCTATCACCTCGTTCTTCTCGGTGTGTGTTTTTAGGTTATCCCACAAACCATCGTGGTTTCAAATGTCTTGACTTGGAAACTTGATATACCTCTATTTTACATGCTTTTTATACTGTTTTAGTATTGTTTTCTAATGGTTTTTGGCAGGTTTTCTATCTAAAAAGGTAGTTTTACTGTGTTTATAGTGTCTAGAGTCTAAACAGGTGAAATGATGCATTTTGGAGCAAAACCATAGGATTTGCACTTCAAGCCGCTCCATGCACAAGCATCCAACTTTAAGAGGGCCCAGAAAAAGATCTACTCAATGGATTTCATCAAGACCAGTTCCCTGCGTGCTCTGATTGAGTTAACTTTCCAACGCAACTGGAACGGCCTAATTTGGATGAGTAGAAAAGGAGTTACAACCAAAAGAGTGAAGACTGTCCAGACGGCTCTATCGAGAATCAGCGCCCAAACCGCGCAGCCGGCTGGCCGAGAAACGTTTGTTTCACGCTCGGCCAAAACATCCGTCCGTCTGAAGTCTCGGCCAAAGTTCAAACCATCCGGCCGACACGCACGACCCGGGAAGCATGTCCCGCGGTCGGCCAGCCACGACCACTCCACGCCATGCCGCGCAACCTATCTCACGTACCACGGCCGATGGCGCCGTCCGAGCCGAACCGTCCCGCGTCCGGCCGAGAAACATCGGCCAATCTTCACCCGTCCGACCACAGCGGCCGACCGAATCCATCCGGCCACGACCGTTCCGATCGTCCGACCACGGCCATGACCCGATCATCCGGCCGATCGTCCCGACCGACCGTCCCAACGCCGCGGTCGACCCGAAGCCCGTTTTGAAGCCCGATTTCATATTTTCAAGGCCCGGCTTAACCCTAAGCCGCCTCAAAAGACCTAGCACTATATATATAGCTTTTTAGCCTCTTGTGAAAAGAGAGCCGCCCTTGTATTTCGATTTCCTACTCTAAGTTTTATTGCAATCATGTTTTCTTCATCTCTATGTGTGTTTGCTTTGATCATGTCTGAGTAATCCACTAGTTAGGTTGCTAGGGTTACTATTCAATGAGTTGCTTGCATGATCTTTGATTTCAATGATTAGCTAGGGATTATATTAGAGTCTTTGTCTCGTCTTGTGCACTTAACTAATGCTGATTGCTTTACCGCGCATCTAGTAATCCGATCTTAGGTTGATTTGAGCCTCGACAGTGTTGTATCATTCGCCGGACATATTCTTTGACAAGCTAGGTTTCTTAGACTGCGAAAGTTGATCTACTATAATCTAGTGAACTGTATCAGAACCTATTCATTCTAAAGCTTGATTTAATCACCTAGGGACATACCAAAAGTTTAGCGACTAGGTAGATTAACAAAGGAGCCGGAGCCTCGAAAGTGGAATGGTTTTATATTCGTGATCTGTGTTCTAGACGGTTCTTAATATCCCAACATCCCTAATCAATTCATCTATCATTGTTTCATTGATCATTGCTTGCTTCTCTGCGATTAGCCCCTATGACCTAGCGCTTTTCCTTATTGATTTACAACCTCGTTATACTTGCTAGTTCGGTTCACCATTACAACCTCAAACCATACTTTTGTTTTAGCTTGATCCAAAATCCATAGTTTCAAAGTGTACTCAATAGCCAGTCCTTGTGTTCGATACCCATACTTCCGCGATCTGTGCACTTGCAGAGGTCTAGGAGTTTGGTAAAACCTGACTCAACATCAAAACTCGTCACATCATCATCTCACGGCATGTTGTTTTCGACGAGAATGTTTTTCCTTTTGCAGGCTCCTCTCCACCTTCACCGCCTTTCCATGTTTCACCAATAGCGTATCCACCGCCTCTTCTTTAGGCTGTATCCAACCCCACCGGCGGATCCGCCCTCTCCTCCTCCGCCACTGTCTCTCCACCTCTCTTGCCTATACCAGTACCACCGAGTCCTTTGGATCCAAATCCACCAACACCACCTCTCTCGCCTGGTCACAACTCGCCACCTCCCTCTCCGCAGCAAGAACTTCCTCCGGCGCCAAGTCAACCTGTAGTTGCACCTGTGCCGACGCGGATTCAGACTCGGAGTAAAAGTGGCATTGTCAAGCCTAAAAAAGTTTTCTCTCTTCACACTGCCACTATTTCTCCTCTGCCTCGCTCACATCTTGCTGCTTTCAGGGATCCCATTTGGAACGGAGCTATGCATGAGGAATATAACTCTCAAATGGCAGCACGCTCTTGGACTCTTGTTCCTCAACCTTTGAATGCTAACATTGTGCGTTCCATGTGGCTGTATACTCATAAATTTCGTGCAGATGGTTCTTTAGCTCGCCACAAAGCTCGTCTTGTCGCTAATGGGAAGTCTCAACAAGTCGACATTGACTGTGCAGAAACCTTCAGTCCCGTGATAAAACCCGCTACCATACGCACCATCTTGGACATTACTGTCTCACGCGACTGGCCGTTGCATCAGCTGGATGTCAAGAATGGATTTTTACATGGGAATCTCGAGGAAACGGTGTATATGTATCAGCTGGCCTGTTTTGTTGATCCCACCAAACCTGATTATGTGTGTCTCCTCAAGAAGTCCATGTATGTCTTAAAGCAATCGCCGAGGGCATGGTATCAATGATTTGCGCAGTTCGCAACCAAGATCGGATTAACTCAAAGCAAATGTGATCCATCCTTGTTTATTTTGCGTCGCGACAATGGTTTTGCTTACTTACTCCTCTACGTGGATGACATCATTCTTACTGCATCGACACCATCTCTTATCAGGTCTATCATATCCTCTCTTAAGTCTGAATTCCCAATGTCTGATCTTGGTTTTCTTCACTATTTTCTTGGCATTGCTGTTCGCAGAGACAAAAATGGCTTGTTCATGGATCAACGGACCATGTCGTACTCTGGTGGATACGGCAGCCAAACTCGAAGCAAACATAGGCCAGCCGGTCGAAGATCCAACGTTGTACCGAAGCCTGGCCGGCGCTCTCCATTACCTCACATTCACTCGACCGGATATTGCTTACGCAGTACAACAGATATGTCTGTATATGCATGATCCACGAGAACCCCACTTCGGTGCCTTGAAACGTATTCTACGCTACGTCAAAGGCACCATTTCACAAGGTCTTCATATTACACCGTCAAAAACCACAACTCTGACGGCTTACACTGATGCTGATTGGGGAGGCTGTCAGAACACACGGCGTTCGACCTCAGGCTATTGTGTGTACCTTCTATTGTGTGTACCTTGGTGACAACCTCATCTCTTGGTCCTCAAAACGCCAACCTATGCTCTCTCGTTCCAGTGCCGAAGCTGAATACCGCGGCGTCGCCAACGTTGTGGCTGAAACGATATGGGTACGCAATCTTCTGCTAGAGATACATTGTCCAATTCAAACCGCCACTGTTGTTTACTGTGACAACGTTAGTGCCGTGTATCTCTCCACAAATCCCATTCAACACTAGCGCACAAAACATGTTGAGATGGACATGCACTTTGTCAGAGAAAGGGTCGCTCTTGGCCAGGTTCGTGTCCTTCATGTTCCCTCCTCTCAACAGTATGCAGACATCTTCACCAAAGGTCTTCCCTCTACTCTCTTCAACAAATTCAAATCCAGTCTTCGTGTTCGGGAACCTCACATTTCGACTGCGGGAGGGTATTAGAATATGGAATGCATATATTCTCCAAATGTATATTAGGCATCTAAGTTAATAACCTCTAACCGTAATATTGTATAGTCTCCCATATATATGTGTATGAATGGAATGGCACAGATCATCGATTGAATAATACCTAATCTAATATAGACTGTATACAACTCCCTCGCAATGCATGTCCCATATATTACTTTGTTTCTGTCGAAATTACTGATTGGCTCTTATCTTCATTGCGTTTTTTTCTTGCTGCAGATGAATTGCTTGTTGCAAGAGGTTCAATTTACAGATCAGCAGCGGTTTAAACAGTTTGTCTCTCAAAGCATAGCACGGATGGAGGTAAGTAGTAAGGTTTTTTTTCTTTCTGCCTTTTGCATGATGAGTGGAACTTGAAAGTAGTAGTGTTAACATCATTTCTCACTCAATGTAGAACCGATTGAGGGGAAGTGGTCATGGAGTTGCTGCGGCGAGGACGGATGCAATGTTGAACATTGCTGGATGGATGTCTGAACAGATGGGTGGTCATAGGTTGGAACTTGATAGTCCTCCTCTCTATTCAGTTTTGATCTTTATTGAGAATAAGCTTTATGCACATTTTAGAACCTAACAAAGTTAAGCATCTCTCTTTTGTAGTTACCTTGAGTTCTTACATACTCTTGAAAAGAGAGTGGATGAAGACTGGGAAGGGATTTCATCCTCACTTGAGGAGATCAGAAGATCTCTCCTTTCCAAGAATGGTTGCATCGTTAATATAACTGCTGATGGAAAGTCTCTCACAACCGTTGAAAAATCTGTTGAGAAATTCTAGATTTACTCTCTGAAAACCCCTCTAGTGGGCTTGTCACTTGGGATTCTCGACTTCCTCTGAGAAATGAAGCTATTGTAATACCAAACCAGGTAAAAATAGAAATTAAAGACAGTTTGTATAGATGTGTTTTCGATATAGTAAACTCACTTTCATACTCTCTTTGCAGGTAAACTATGTTGGGAAAGCAGGTAACATATACAGCACCGGGTATGAGCTTGATGGGAGTGCATATGTTATATCAAAACATATAAGCGCTACATGGCTATGGGATCGTGTTCGTGTAAGTGGTGGTGCATATGGAGGTTTTTGTGATTTCGATTCGCATTCAGGTAAAAGACCGCTTTCACTTTCTTCCTTGAATGCGTAAGGAGGAGTTGTTGACAACTTAACATATGAGATCTTTCTATTTTTTTCAGGTGTATTTTCGTTCTTATCGTACCGGGATCCAAACTTGTTAAAGACACTCGACATATATGATGGAACTGGAGATTTCTTGTGTGGCCTTGATGTGGATCAAGCGACACTCACTAAAGCTATTATTGGAACCATCGGTGATGTTGATTCATACCAATTACCTGATGCCAAAGGTTATAGCAGTTTGATGAGGCATTTACTTGGAGTAACTGACGAAGAACGACAGAGAAAGCGTGAAGAGATATTGACAACAAGGTTTGTTAACGACATGTCTCTCACTCAATTACACTTGTTCTTTAGCATTCTTATTCTTATGCTTTAGTTTCACTTAATTTGGTTTAAATCTTGCTGTTTTTTTTGTTCCACAGTTTGAAGGACTTCAAGGATTTCGCAGGGGCAATAGATGTGGTTAGAGATAAAGGTGTGGCGGTGGCTGTGGCATCCGCAGAAGACATTGATGCGGCCAACATTGCATGCTCCAACTTTTTCGAGGTTAAGAAAGCTCTCTAAATTCTGTGACTATGAGACAACTTTTACAATAGGGTTGAGAAATCTCATTGTCTTGATTTTCTACTCGAGTGATTTGTCTTCTCAACGCTAAATACTACTAAATGTCCAACATTATGAATTTGAAGCATTTCACCTTCAACTTAAAAAATATGTACTCTTTTTGTTTTCCTATCTAAATTGTTGGCTCTGCGTTAATCTTATTACATGATATTCAGCTGGTTTCATCAAGTGATCTATAAAAAATGAGGAATGGTTAATTTTACAACGTGGAAATGAATATTTGATTAAAAGTGATATACAAATATAGTCTTGTTCTTCAAGTACGGTCTTCATAGTCTTGTTCAAGTTCTGTCCTCCACTTGTTCAATCCTTGTCTTTCCCATTGGCGGTTTCAGCAGACTGTAAATACTAAATACTCTGACAAACCTCTGATATCACCATATTTTACATGATTTTACTATATAATTACTTATGTTTTCAAACGGTTTTTGCAAGATTCTTTGCCTTTAGAGGTAGTTTTCTTGTATTTGTGGGATTTGAAGTCTTTGTAGGTGAAATAATCAAAAAGGATGCAAAAAGGAGCAAAAGAGCCTAAAACCAAGATCCATGCAAGCTTCCAAGTCAAGAAAATCATTTAATCTCCAACCTCTACTCTCGTCATGAGCTTTTCCCCTCTCTTTTCACTCTCGCGGTATTGCTCCATCTCTTCATTCGTCAAGGCATGTTTCTTTTTGTTCTTTCGATTGTCTCCGCCACTTTGGCCTCAGTTAATGTAATATATTCAGGCTCCTGTTTGGCAGAATGTTTCTGATGGAACTTTTCCAAAGGAGTATGCTTTGTCAGAAAAATATCTTTCTTTCGACATGCTGCTGTAGTGTAGAGTAGCACCAACTTTCAGTTCTAATGCCCGCAGGTGCTCCTTTAGCTCTTGATGTCCCACATGTGCCAGTTCCACGAATCCATTATAAACATTTGAGAGACTCTGAACATTCTATAAAACTAATAAAAGTCATTTACAGTAGAACCTCTATAAAGTACTCGATAAAGTAATACCTCAATAAAAGAATAGAATTTTTAAGTCTCAAATTAAGTTTTTGGTGTAATTATCTCTTGATAAATTAATAATCTCGCTAAAGTATTAAAATATTACGGTCCCAACGTTATTACGTTATAGAGGTTTTACTGTACTATACATATCTCTTTATAAGTGCTCTAAATTTTTTATTACTAATTTATGAATAGTTTGTATGTTGTTATTTTTTTATTAATAAATTATAATCTATCAAAACTTCATTATGCATGAATTTAAATTAGTTATTATTTATTAATATGATTTTTTTAATAGGCATTAGTTAAGTTTAATGCAATATTATAAAATTAGTATTGTTAATTTTTGTTAACACAATAATATTTAATATAAGACCAAAACTCTGGTAGTTGAAAACAAAATTTTATTTTCACATTTTGTTGATTAAATATTCTTTAATAAAATTTAGCAAAGGTTTTCAAATTAAACTACAATAAAAGTATATTAAATTACAATAAATAAAAAACAGATACAAATATTATATTTTGTAAGATACTTATATTAGTGAGACATTTGATGGATATTTCACAAATGGAAGCAGAAGAATGTGATGAGGGTTTTAAAATAATAATGTTATATTGATAATATATTCAATAGGTTTCTCACCAAAGAAAGTGCTATATTTAAGAGATTATGAAAATATGCTTATGACTGAGATTGAATCTTATATATATTAGGAGATTTTTCTCTCTATTTAGCTTATCCACATCAGCAATAAAATACTAACCATAAATTATCACTAAATATTTTTTTATTACATATCAATAAAAATAATGTAATAAAAAAATAACGGATCCATCCATAAAAAGTTGTGTGACAAATATTAAAATGTGTGTTATTTTTAACACTAATTAAAATATTTTCAACTTAATATTAAATGAATTTCAAATTACTTAATATGAATTTTCGAGAAAAAAAATTCTAATTGAAATTCTCTTTTTTTTTCCTTTGACTTGCAAAAGTCTGTTACTTTAATCTTATAATCTCCTCATAATTGAAGTGATTTTTCTCAATGATAATCGAAATCGTTTAAATTTTTGTTAATTTCTTCTTATTTATGTTTTTCTTTATGTTTTTCTATTTTGTCCTAGATCATTATATAGAAAAACATTAATCATGTCCCATATTATATTATTTTTTATCATTTTTCTAACATAAATTATTATTGGCATGTTTTGAATCAAATTCAAATTTTTTTTCAATTTTTTAGTTTGATAAGAATCGATGAAGTCATTTATATCTTTGATATTTTGTTCTTTTTATTTATGTTCATCTTGAGTATAAACCCTAACAACTCTCTTTTCTATTTTTGTCCTATTTTGAGTAAGGTTAAACACGTTCCATATGAAGTTAAGTTTTATCACATGTCAACATATATTGTTACTACAAAATTGAACTTCATATTAAAATATTTAAATTGCTTATTTTGAATATTCGAGAACAAAATTTGCAAATGGGGAATTCTTTTTTTCTCCTTTGGCTTACAAAGGTTGTTGCTCCACTCTTTCAATTTCCACGTGATTGGAGCAACTTTGTTCGAGGAGAGTTGATAACATCATTTATAATTTTGATATGTTTTTTCTTTTTTTTTCTTATCTTTTTTTAGTATGAATCCTAACCACTCACACTCGCTTTCTTATTTCTCACCCAATCTCATTATATAGAAAAATGAATAAACGCAATGTAGATTAGGTTAAGTTTTTTTTAACACGTGTCAACATTATATTATTGAAATATTTCGAAATTAATTTTAAAATACTTATTTGAATTTTTGATGAGAACAAATTTCCCATTGGGAAATTCTATATTTTTCTCCTTTGGCTTGCAAAGATTTTTTTCTTAAATATTTTAATCTCCTCATGATTGAAGTGATTTTTCTCAAGGAGATCAGTGACGTTGTTTCATATCTATGATAGTTTTTTTTCTTATTTATGTTTTTCTTGAGTCTAAACCCTAGCAACTCTCTTTTATATTTTCGTCCTAAATCTCATTATATAGAGAAATGTAAAACATGTTTCATAATAGATTAATTATTATAACATGTCCACATATATTATAATTGAAACTTTTTAAATTTAATATTACAATATCTATAAATGACTTAATTTGAATATTCAAGAAAAAAATTTGCAATTGGAAAATTCTATTTTTCCTTTAGCTAGCAAAGTTTGTCGCTCCAGTCTGTTTTATTTTCTCATCTCGTGATTGGAGCGATTTTGTTACAAGAGAGTGGATGACATCATTTATATCTTTGACATTTATTATTTTTGTTCCTATCTTTCTTGAGTCTAAAGTCTAAACCCTAACTAGTCGTCTTCTTATTTCTCACACAATCTCATTGTATAGAAAAATGATTGACCGCAATTTAGATTAGGTTAGTTTTTATTTTATCATGTGTCAACATTAATTAGTATTGAAACATTTTGAACTGAATATTAAATTAATTTCAAATTGCTTAATTTGAATTTTTTTAGAACAAATTTCCAATTAAGAAATTCTATATCTATATATATTTTTCCTTTTGCTTGCAAACGTTGTTGCTGTAATCTTTTAATCTCTTCATAATTGAAGCGAATCAAAATCTTTGATATGTTTTCTTTTTATTTATGGTTTTCTTGAGTTTTAAGTCTAAATCCTAGCAATTCTCTTTTCTATATTTGTCTAAAATCTCATTATATAGAGATAGACGTTAAACATGTTCTATAAGATTAAGTTTTATCATGTGTCAACATATTTTATTATTAGTAATCAGTTTGAACTTAATATTAAAACATTTCAAATTATTTAATTTTGACTTTTTTAGAACAAAATTTGCAATTGGGAAATTCTGGTTCTTTTTTCCTTTGGCTTGCAAAGGTTGTCACTTCATTGTTTTTACTTCCTTGTGATTGGGGGCGATTTTGTTCGAGGAGAATCGATAGCATCATTTATATTTTTGATATGTTTTCTTTTACTTCATATGTTTCACAATAAGTATCATTTTAGACATATTTTTCTGTTTTTAATATAAGTGTCGTTTTAGATTTTCAATGCATAATTATCTATAAATTTACAGCTTTTAACCTCATTTATTTAATCAATTAACAAATGAATCAAAAAATTTAGTGTGTTAATTAAATTTATTGTAGAATATTTTAATATGATTTCTTAATATGTCTATAAAAATCTCAAACGACACTTACTGTGATCTATGGAGTAATTCTTATTTTTGAGTTTAAACGCTAGCCACTCTCATTCTTATTTACTCACCCAATCCCATTATATAGAAAAATGATTGAACGCAACTTATATTAAATTATATTTTATATTATCACGTGTCAACATTTCTTCTCTTTTATCTATATTTAATGCAATTTAAATTTTAAATTTTATTGTTATAATAATATAGGAAATGCTCGGATTCGTGCTCATACCATTACCTTTTAATGGATCGTATACTGTATACATCATCCAGTTTACAGTTTCTTTGTTTTCAATAAAAGGAATTAAATCAAGAATACAGAGTCAGAGACTAGAGTACTACATAATAATCTAATCGGTATATGATATAATTTTGTGTGTGTCAGCATTTACGGTAACATTGAAATTTCAAAATTAGGATGAAAAGGATATTGTACAGAAAAATAAAGGGAAAGAAAATATACTTACATAGGGTAAATAATCTATACGTAAAAAGTACCGGCCCGACCAAATTTTGCGCCTAAAGCCAAAAAAAAAAAGTAGGTCTGTTAAAAAATTCGATTTTAATTAAATGAACAAAATAATCTATACGTACATAGGGTAAATAATCTATACGTAAAAAGTGCCGGCCCGACCCAATTTTGCGCCTAAAGCCAAAAAAAAAAAATAGGTCTGTTAAAAAATTCGATTTTAATTAAATGAACAAAATACGTTACACGGAAGTCTCGAACTGCTCACTTTAGCTTACATTTCGGGAGATACAACCACTACACTACTACAAACATTACAGATTTTGGCGCCCCTAAAAGTTGATATTATTTTGGCGCCTAAAGCAGCCGCTTTACGAGCCTTAGGTCCGGGACGGCCCTGCGTAAAATAACAAGAAACCGAAATACTTACAAAATCGAAAGAAAGACAGTATTCAAGATTGTTTCCAGTTTGGTAACCGTAAAACTCAGAAAGCCCTTACGAGGATGCATCGAGCTTAGGAGACCAACTATTACTTCAGTTTCTCAGATCTGGATAGACTAAGATTATATCAGGGGTATCTTTGCAATTTTGTTTTTGCTTTTAATTAAAAGTCTGTCCTTGTTAAAATACATAGCACGCATGCATCTCTAAGCATACTGATGTCAATATTTAGTGTACTTAGTATTCAGTTTTTTTTTTTTTCTTTTAGATTCTCTACAGTTATAATATAATATATTTTGATATTGAAAAAAGATATTTGTACTCGAACCTAAACTCTTGATCCTGTTGTTTTACCAATACGCATGCATGTGCAATTTGATTTAATCTACTTATAGTTATATATCCTAGTGTTTTCCTTACCTAATATTGTGCTCTATAAATATTTTGTTCCTATTAAGTTTTGAGCCCTTAAGTTTTTCTATCATCAAAAACATTAAAAAAATAATAATATAATAAACAGCAAAAACGTGCCAGGTTTTGATTAGAGGGCTCAGTTCAATACAGTATAAGGTAGGGAAGAATTAAAACAATATTTAATATGGTAAAAGCGTCAATGGTAACAAAATCAACATTAATGCATGAATGGTTAAGTAAATATATGATATATAAATGTTAATATATAAAAGGTTAAAATCTACCAGTAGCAACAAAAAAGCATAAATATCTAACAATACTAACATCTAGTTAACCAAATAACGACACCTTTTCTCAGCAATTATTTTCTTTTCTTTTCTTCAGGCTATATAAACTAGCACCATTGGAATAATGATCGATGAACTGATCTAAGAGAGATCAATAAGCAACAGAAGAACACATAAAACAGCATTTGTCCCCTTTCCGGTCAACATGCAAGAGCTTACTTCCACAATCATGTCTCGTTCCTTCCTCCCGACCACTTCTCCTCGGCTTCGACTGCGGCCAAGATCATTGGTTCGCATGACCGTTTGCATTGATCAGTCACGCAAGGAGAAAGTGGTTGTCATATTGGGAGCCACCGGGACAGGCAAGTCACGCCTCTCAGTTGATCTAGCAACCCGTTTCTCCGGTGAGATCATCAACTCTGACAAGATCCAATTCTACAACGGCTTGGAGATCGCCACAAATCAGATCACAATACCTGAGCGATGTGGAGTCCCTCACCATCTACTCGGAGAGCTTGCTCCGGACAGTGAACTAACAGCTTCCGAATTCCGCACTTTGGCGTCACGGTCGATCTCTGAGATAGCCTCTCGTGGGAAGCTCCCGATAATAGCCGGTGGATCAAACTCCTTCGTCCATGCGCTCCTTGTCGACCATTACAACCGTGAAACCAATCCATTCGCTTCTGGATCGAAGATTTCTTCCGAGTTGAGGTATAATTAATATATATATGAATCTCTATTGCTTTTATTTGTGTTTAATATTGTTAACGTTTGTGCTTACATTTAGTTTTTTTTTTGTTCTCCAAACAATGAATTCAAAGTCATAACATGGGGTGTATATTTTCACATTTTAGACTTTCGTTTACATGTCACGATTACGTTTCCATTTTACAAAAAAAAAAAGTTATTTTTCTTTCTCCAAAAAATGAATTCAAAGTCATAAATGTGGTGTATATTTTCACATATTAGACTTTCATTTACAGGTAACGAGTACGTTTGCATTTAGAAAAATATATATTCCTTAGAAACATACAAAACGTTTTATATCTAAACTTTCTTTACATGTTTTTTTATCTTCATTTGCCGATAATCCTTTGTAAATGTTGCTTTGATCAAATGAAGGTACGATTGTTGCTTCCTGTGGGTGGATGTCTCGGTCTCGGTTCTGTTCCACTACCTCTCGAAGCGTGTCGACCAAATGATGGAGTCGGGGATGTTCGAGGAGCTCGCCGGTTTCTACAAACCTAGAGATTCCGGTAAGACGGCCCAAACCGGGATTCACAAATCCATAGGAGTACCGGAGTTCGATAGGTACTTTGAAGTGTATCCGCCGGAGATAAACGGCAAAATGTGCGAGTGGGATCCAGAGAGAAAGGCGGCGTTCGACGAAGCAGTGCAGGCGATCAAAGACAACACGTGGCTGCTTGCGAAGAAGCAGATTCACAGGATCATGACGCTGAGAAGCAGCGGTTGGGAGATCAAGAGGTTGGACGCTACGTCGTCGTTGAGAGCATCATCAAGGGAGGTTTATGAGAAGAACGTTTTGGAGGAAAGCGTCAAGATTGTAAATCGCTTCTTCCTCAAAGTCTAGGTTTTCTTTTTAACTCTCGCCATTTTCAGGTTCAAAGGCAGAAGAAAAGAGTTTTTTTTTGTTTTCATAATAAGTGTCGTTTTAGAGTTTAATTTTTGTTTCATTATAAGTGTCGTTTTACATTTTTAATGCAGAATTTTCATATAATTTCTAGATTTATCCCTAATCTCTTAGCTCTGATAAAATCAAATAATGTTATGTATTAAATAGGGGTAAAATAGAAAAGTTTATTTTTTTCTTAATATGTATGCAAAAACCTTAAACGACACTTAATATGAAATAGAGTGAGTACTAATAAAGCGATATGTATACTCCACCAGTTACATGTTCACTGTTATATTCTCACCATTTATATTTTTTTTGTCAACGACCTCCATATAAATTACTATGACGTGCCTTGTGGATTAGTTGCAGGAACTAACCCAGAAGACATTAAAGTGTTTACATGGGAAAAGGGAGAATCTCGTGTCCTAGCCTCTTTCGCAAGGGCGTCGGCACGGAAGTTCGAAATACGTGGGATAAAACAAAGAAAAAAAATTGAAACAGCTACGTAATTCGTTGAAAACTTCAAACTCTGAGGCCAGCGAGGGCCATGCGTCTTCATCTTCGATCAGCTTAACCAACTGTAGACAATCGGACTCAAAGCTCATGGAGATGTGTCCGAGTTGTTTAACCGTAGTCATTGCCTAGATTAAAGAATGGAACTCCGCGTGTAGTGGTGAGAACACCTTGTTGGGGTCGGAATACTCCCGTCGAGCTCAACGATTGTGACCCGCGGAGAGCCGTAAACTTGGCGAGCTAAGGAGCGACGAACCATAGCTTGTCGCGGGAACTGCAAACCAGGATCGATACGTGGAGAGCAATCTACGACGAGCTGCGGAGCATGGCGAGTTGAGGAGAACCATGCACGATGCACGAGCCCAGCTTAGGCTAGAAACGTCGATCCATCACACCAGGAGCGTGCTGGGACGTAAACCATGCACAACGAACCAAGATCATGCAATAAAGAGTTGGGCCGAACCATTACGCGTCATGGGCCGAACCAACGTCCGTTTACTCGACTCGAGCTGAGGCCTAGTAAGAAGGACGTGTGGTTCGCCCTAAGAGGCAATTGAAGTCAAACCGACGCGCCGCAAAGGATGACATCGAATCTTAGGAATATCTTGAGAAAGTCGGTTCTAGGTCATGTATAAATATAGATCGAACCGAATGAGTTCGATCATGACTTTTTTCTTGCTACACATCACTTTTCCATTTAAAAACACTTTACACTTTACATCAATAAAATCACCATCTTTGGATCCTCGTTTGTGTTACTCTTAGAATTTATAGTTCCTCTCTAAAATCATCCTTCAAAACTATTGTGCGGATTCCAGCTCCCACAATTTGGCGCTAGAAGGAGGGGGATTAGAAAATTTCTCACTCATAAACACTCGAGATCTGAAGAGATATCCGAGAACGGAGCAACGTGACGGGAATTCCCCCATCAGGAGACAATCCACCCGGAGATCAGAGAACTCCAACAGGAGCGGATCAACAAGCCAATAAAGACACAACGATTGAGCTGGCAAAGATGCAGGAGATGATCGCCGCCGGCAGAAAAGGACCGAAGAACAAGATGCGCTGAATAGCTCGCTGACGAGAGAGCTGGAGACCCTGCGAACCACTCGGAAACAGGAGGAAGAACAAAGGAGAGTCACGAGAAGGAACGGCATCGATCCCGTGACGCTCAACTTCACAACCCCGGAGGCAGGAGCAGAAGGACGAGCACCAGCAGGAAACGGAGCTACCGATCAACCTCCCTTAAACGGATCAAACACGTATGCGAACGACGAGCCCGGAGTGACAAGAGATGCGAAGGTTCGGGACCAGCGAACGGAGAAGGAGCTCAGACAACCCACAGCTCGCCTGATGAACCCTACAACGACGACGCACTAACTGAACTTGTAGATCGAACCATGTCGAAGAAGATCAGCGAGCTGCAAATCGCTAGAGCTGCTGGAGGAAGCTAAAACGACAACAAGAGAGCATGGAGAGACAGACAAAACAAACCGGCCATACTACGAACCCAGACAGCGCGAAGCGACGAAAACGTGACGAATCATGGTAAAGACGAACGGAAGCCACAGCGCAGCAACAATATAGCAGCTTCTTTGACAGAGATGGAGAAGACGATTACCGCTTTACAAAAGAGAGCCTAAGAACAAGGCGCGTCAAACAACGCTTTGACGAAGGAGCTCCGCCAGCAGAGATCGAAACAATCATCTTTAGCATTTCAGCCGCAAACCAACCTTGATGTCCCCACTAAGTGACGAAAGCCGCGCGTCCTGATCTGGGAAAGAGAAAGCTTGTACTTCTTCAAGAAACACAAAATCAACTCTGGGATCGGAAACCATAAGTAGCTCAAGGAGAAACCATATCAAATGAACATCAGCCCGTCATAACATCAGCAGCGACTCGTTGCAAAGCCAAGGCCAACCACGGCTCGTGGACCCAGTCAGCCGATAGCTTGCGACGGAACAGTACAACGGGAGCTGCATGTGTGGAGTTCGGAAGTAGCTCGGAAGAAGACCGCGATACCGCAGTTTGAGAAATAAAGGCGCAAATCCCAAACTACGACAGCTCACCTCGATCGCGGACCCTCACCGACAGTACGCACAAGCAAGAACCTGATCCGATCAATCCGAAGAACCCGCGAGCTCGCCAAGAAAAAGGAGAAATCAGACCCAGAAGCTAACAAACAGTTAGCACCAAGAGAGATCAAAATTCTCTCCACAAAAAAACCTGGCAAAAGCTTCGACCTACAGCTCGCGGCTTGCTCTAAGATCCGACAGCTCGCCGATCAAACGCAGATCCGGAGTAGCAAGCAACTCCGGAGCTCGCTCAACCACGCAGTCCAACTCATCGGAGTCAACGACGCGATTTCGCAGCTCGCGCGATACGACGGCTTGTGACGACGACTCGCGAAGACACGACGACACAATAGCTCGCGCAACAACCATCGACGCATTAAAATCTCACAAATAACAGATCTGAGCTAAAAAATCCACGCAAACTTGATGAAACTAACACCTAGACAAGCTGAGAAGATCCAGATGTTGAAGATAGAATGTCAAACAATCAACGGCTATATAACAAAGGCGCGACGAAACAAACGGGCTCGTCGACAAACTAAGACACAATGAACCATATCGGCTCTTCGCCAACCATTCAATGCGACGAAGACAAAGCAGTCTGTACGTCGAACAAACTTGCGACGAACCACTCTACGCATTAACAGGTCTACACGACGAACCAGTTCGCAGGACGAACCAAACCATGCATTGAAGGAACCGGCTCTCGCGTCGTCGAGCTACTGAGCTGCGGAGAGCTACAATCATCGCGATGAGCTGTGGAGAGCTACAAACATCGCAACAAGGTGTGGAGAGCTACAAGCATCTTAACGAACCGCGGAGAGCTACAAGGATCGCCGACAGCTGTGGAGAGCTATAAACATTGCGACGAGTTACAGAGAGCTACAAGACTCGCCACAAGCTGCAGAAAGCTATAAAGATCATGATAAGCTGCGGAGAGCCACAGGCATCGCCACGAGTTCCGGAGAGCTCACAACCAAAGACAAGCTGCGACAAACCTACGACGAGCTGCAGACGAAGGGTGACGTCGCTGCGAGAAGCTAAAGACGGACTACGGCGAGCCGTGACAAGCATAACACGTGGTAGACGCAAGGCGACAGTATGATGAAACAAACCAACTTCACAAGGAAGCACAATTGATATATACGATTCGCAATGGTGATGAGCCAAATGACCACAAATGAAGAGACGATGAGCCAAGCGGCGACGATGAGCCAAGCGGCAATGAGCCAAGCGGCGACGAGCCAAACCATTGCGGCGAATCACAATCATCACAATGTACCAAGATCATGGCAGCAAGCCAAAATCATAGAGACGAGCCACAATCATAAAGACGACTCAAAACATCATGACAAGCTTAAATCATCACGACGAGGCAAGCGGCGAGGTGTTCAAAATTCGACATGGTGAACGGACGAACAAAGTGATCGAGCCGGCGAGTCAAATGACCCAAGGATCACATTAATCTGGGTCTCGATCTTACCAACCATCAAAACACATCAAGGTAACTATACCAAACTGACAATTCACATTGACCGAGCGTAGTCTCGCATTTACAACAACTCTAAGCCGAGCCAAGTCTCGCATCTAAAATCTTAAAAGCCGAGCCAAGTCTCGCATCTAAAACTCTTAAAAGTCGAGCACAGGCTCACACCATTATGACTAAAGCCGAGCTCATCTCGCATTTACAAGGCTGATCTTATCACGCCGACCTGATCATCTTCTTACAAGAACTACGCGTGACTTGATCCCCGCGAGGGGTACGTAGGCAGTTCATCTTTGATGGATTCAGTTGCCTCCCAAAAAAAAAAAGAGGGGGAGTGGAGTACGTACATTCGTGTACTCTCACATTACATGACACGACTTACCCCCTAGTCATTCTTGTCATTTTCTTTGTAACGCGGCTCGCCGCTAAGATCAATCTTTCGAAAACTGTTTTCACAGTTTCAAGTCAACTCTGACTAACTTCAACCCTACTCACTTCTTGTTTGTTGCTGGCCACAACAAACGAACTACTACAATCCTCCATGAATTCTCACTATTGCAAACCTCAATGGTTTATAAGCGCGCGCTATACAAATTCGATCGTAAGTCATCGTTTCGACCCGTAACTTACTAATAGATAAGACTGCGGCAAAAACTGAAACAAGACATCTTAAACCCAGCAACAACACAAACGCCGCTTGGTATCACTGGTCTTTTACATATCTTGACTCAAATTTACTTCAACCCACAAAGATAGCCAAGTGCGAGTTTGCGGGAACAAACGAAGTAAAGCAAATAACAACTCATTATTATTACGCCTCCTGGCTCATGTTCAACTCTTTAAACATTCAGTTCATCATCAAAGACACTCAATTTGAAAGCATTCTACTATGCTTGACGACAAGCCACTTTCATTTCGTTGGCTATGTAGCAATCTAGTTCGACAGGCTAACTCCATGTTTAGCTCGTCTACATAACACTCAGCCTGACAGCGCTTCAATTAGGCCAGCAACAACTCCGAACAGTGCCTACAAGCGCTGACCGCTAAACCACACGATCGAACTGCAGCTCGCACTCCTGGGACATCATCTCATTAATTAAGTAAAGCACTCCCCGGACTTCACCTCATTAAGCTCGAACGCAGGAGAAGCTCACAGCAGGCCTCTCTCTTCCTGTACTGGAATCGCCGTACCATTCGCGTTGTACCTTGACGACGAAGATGGCGACCAACAGAGCCGATTAGCCTGGTTTCAGACATGACAAGCTCTTCACCAAGTCATAGTGATGTCACAAAAATGCGGACTCGACAGTTCGCAACACAGCCAACAGCGGATCGCCGCGGAGGCAGAGTCAATGGAAGCTCGTCGCAAGATCCAGCAAAGCGATAGGTTGGATCTCCTTCTCACCACAACAGCTCGTGCTCGCTACAACTTCTCTCTTCAGTTCGCACGACGTGAAACAATTCCGAACAGGAGCTCTGGACGCAGCAGCTCACGGTTCAAGTCACGACACAGCACGATCCGCAACACAATCCCACAGCTCGCTCAGTCCGACAAACTCATGAGCTCGTTCCAAGAAGAACCCGCAGCTCGCTCCAAGAAGCACCCACAGCTCGCTCGGAAGAAGAAACCAGATCTGAAGAGCCGTAATAGCTCGAGATTCGATAGGTCGCCCGTGAAAACAAAATGTGGCCTGAAGACCTAGAGTCCCAACTCGCGCGCAAAGAGAACTAGAACTGAAGCTAGCAACAGCTCGAGCGTAGGAGACAAGTATCAGCTTGCTTTGCAAAAAGAAGCTCCACGGTTCGCAGGGAAGATACCTATGGGATTTGACCAACGCCAACACGAGCTGAAAACAGAGCTCGTCACGACGAGCCACGACCTGAGTTCGTCACGTCGCAAACAAGGTTGGAAACGACGAACCATGGCACCGCAAAAGACGGGCTTGCGTCAAAGCAGGTCACAACACACCCTACTCCCGGAATGCCACAGATTGCGGCAAATATTGACTGCGAGCCACAGCTCGCGATACGCCAATTTATCCAAGCCATTTCGAGATGACGTAGGTCGCGTTGAACGGAGATGGGGGCAAAATAAAATTAAAAACTTTCATCTGTTGATCTCGACAGATTACTCTTCAGCTCATCATTCTTAACCTTAAGACTAATGAGCTGGGGGCTAACTGTTGGGGTCGGAATACTCCCGTCGAGCTCAACGATTGTGACCCGCGGAGAGCCGTAAACTTGGCGAGCTAAGGAACGATGAACCATAGCTTGTCGCGGGAACTGCAAACCAGGATCGATACGTGGAAAGCAATCTACGACGAGCTGCGGAGCATGGCGAGTTGAGGAGAACCATGCACGATGCACGAGCCCAGCTTAGGCTAGAAACGTCGATCCATCACACCAGGAGCGTGCTGGAACGTAAACCATGCACGACGAACCAAGATCATGCAATAAAGAGTTGGGCCGAACCATTACGCGTCATGGGCCGAACCAACGTCCGTTTACTCGACTCGAGCTGAGGCCTAGTAAGAAGGACGTGTGGTTCGCCCTAAGAGGCAATTGAAGTCAAACCGACGCGCCGCAAAGGATGACAACGAATCTTAGGAATATCTTGAGAAAGTCGGTTCTAGGTCATGTATAAATATAGATCGAACCGAATGAGTTCGATCATGACTTTTTTCTTGCTACACATCACTTTTCCATTGAAAAACACTTTACACTTTACATCAATAAAATCACCATCTTTGGATCCTCGTTTGTGTTACTCTTAGAATTTCTAGTTCCTCTCTAAAATCATCCTTCAAAACTATTGTGCTCTCTAAATTCTCTCTCTTCTCTTTCTTTATTATTTTGTCTATATTCTTTTTTTAATCTCTTATTTTTATATCTTCTTTTTTTGTTTTAATATTTCATTTAATACACAATCTACAAAAAAAAAAAATCTTAGAGCACTAAAAACTAAAGCCACAGCACTAAAACCTAGAGCCTAAACTCTACAGCCAAAAATCTAAACCCACAGCCACAACCAATCTCTATGTATCGATTTGTCTATACTATTTGTTTGTGTAAATTTGAAAATGACTTTGATGATGAGATTATGTCTAAAGATACGATATTTATAAAATTCACAATCTTTCTAAAAGAGAATTTGCCATATGCAATTGAATTTTAAACGAATGAATTACATTATATTATCTTTCATACAAATTAGAAACTAATTTACCATCCAATTGTATAGAATCCGGTAGTTACAATTCCACTAAACCCATAAACCAAAATGGAGAAACTAGTTTTCAATCGGAATCTAAAAGATGGTTAAGAAAACCATAAGAAATGGAGAATATCAATCAGAGTGATAGACGACTGCGACATAGGTACAAGAGAGGATGGAGATCACTTTTGGTTTTGCCTCCCTTTGCAACCGTCAATACTGTGGTCGATTCTTCATCGGCGGTGTTGTTACGAAGACCGGTGCCAACGATGGAAAGGCAGCACCAATCGAAAATTGAAAAAGAAGAACATGAGAAAAATAATCACAATGGCCAATTGATCTCAGTGACATAATTAATCTCAATTTTGTTTAGACCCATAAATCTTCGAAAAGAAATAGTTGTAATCAAAGCCAGAAAATTGATCGGAGAAAAGTTGGAGTTTCATGATAGAGAAAGTCGAAAAAAAAAAGAAGATCTCATAACTTTTTTTTTACAGACACAAGGCTATAATGGTATTATTATAAAAAATATAAGCTATATTCTAGCTATGATCAAATAATTGTCATTTACTTAATTGTTCTCTCAATATAGCTATTTATTCATTGCAATTTCCCTTATATTTTTATCATATATGTAACATGCCATAAGCAAAGGCGGATCCAGAACAATATTTTATATGGGACACAATATACCTATTTCTATAAATTTTTTTAAATACTAAATAGTTTTTATTATTTTTTCTTCATTATAAAAGTGTTATATGCATACATAAGAAACTTCTAAAAAATATTTTTCATTACCTAAACATTAAATAATAAAATTCAAACTAATATTTATATAAGAATGATGACTCGCAATTTTTTTCAAAAAATATAACTATTTGGGTAGAAGGAAATTAAAACTAAAATATGAGAATTAAGTAACTGTGAGACTTCAATAAAAAGAGAAAAGAAAACACATTTTGCAAACGTTTACCCAAAAAAAAGAAGAGAGAAAAAAACGTTGAAAGCATGGGGAAACATTAACAAAATTGAACCAAATATGCTGTACTTACTTAATCAAAATTGTATTACAAACAAAAAATTATAAAGTTAGTCTGACCACTGTTTTAATGTTACTTAATCTGACCACTGTTTTAATGTTACTTAATCGGACCATTAATTATTTGGTTTGGGGTGCCAATCCCTCGAATGATTTGGGGTGCCAATCCCTTTCTGTTGAAATGATATGTGTCTTGGATTAGAAAACTTCTGAAATCTTCTTTAAACACAGCTTCATCTTCTTCCTTTCGCCAAGAGTGGTTACAACCACAAGCTTTATCACTTTCCATACCAAGGCTTCTTCCATGATCCTGTTGGAACAATCCACCGCCTTTGTACCTAGGTTGCAAAAAGTTCACTTGTTTTTGTTATTTTCGTTAGGATTCTCGTTTATTTGTTATAAAGTTTGTATCTTTTGGTCAAGGTTCCTTCTTTTCCTATATTTTGTAAGGATCCTCTAAAGTTTTGATTTTTTTTGTTTTTGTCATGAGACATTCCGAAACCAAGAACCAACCTTGAACTTGATGAGATATTTGAAGAACATATTGTCTCCTTACAAGACTTTAGAGGCTTTTAGAAATTTTTGAAGTCTTTAAAGTCAAATTTTACTCAATGACACTTTTATGATTTTAATGTCTTAAAAATCATTAATTTCTCCCTCTACAATATTTCACAGCCCATTTTTTTTTCCTTCATGTGTTGATGGGGGTTTTGCAAAAGCCAAAAATTGTGGCTTAATTTTTTCTAAAAGTCACAGCCCTTATTTAAAAGTCACAGTTTTAACAGTAACAGTCAAATTTATTTTTAACAGCCAAAAATCCTTAACAATCAGTACCTTAGTATTCTACAGTTCTAAAATATATATATATTGGTATTGATCCTGTTGTTTTACCAATACGCATGCATGTGCAATTTGATTTAATCTACTTATAGTTATATATTAGTTCTATAACCTAATATATTTGGTTTAATAACAAAATTTGAACAAACTATCAATTTAAATATGTTTTCTTTACCTAATATTGTGGTCTATATATATTGTGTTCCTATTAAGTTTTTTATCATCAAAAACATTTTTAAAAAATGTTTAATATAAGAAACAGTAAAAACGTGCTAGGTTTTGATTAGAGGGCTCAGTTCAATATAAGGTAGAGAATAATTAAAACAATATTTAATATGATAAAAGCGTCAATGGTAACAAAATCAACATTAATCCATGAATGGTTAAGTATACATATCTTATTATATAAAGCTGGATGCGCGCGACGTGGTTGCGACACGTAGGATTTTTATAAAATTTAGGATTGCGACATGTGTCACTTTTAATGTTATGTCCGTTAAGATCGTGACATGTGTCTTAGAAAAAAGGAAAAAAATAATAATTAAAAAAAAATAGATAAAGGAAAAAAAACGAAATTTTAATCTTTTATAGTTAAAAGAAAAAAAATTATATTTGTCATATCCTAATAGAAAAAGGTTTCTCATTCATCAAATTTATATTATCCAAACACATATAAGATTCAAATTAATGAAATAAATAAAATCCTATTAGTACATGAAATAGGTTAGGTAAACTAAATTTCCTATAACTGCATGGAATAAGTTACATGAACCCCTATAAAAAGAGAGTTAAAGTAGTCTTTTTTTCTCATTCACAAACTCATCAAAGCAAACAACATGATAGCAATACGTATGATTTTTATAACTCACAAAATTGCGATATGTGTTTATATTCCCATTATGAACAGGAAAAAAACAATATATAATAAGCTATTGCGATTCAATTATGTGCTTCTATCTTTTGTATAATCTTTTCTCTCATAAAAAATCATGTATTTAAAATTCATGGTATCAATGAATAATATTTAACTCTATATTAGTTGGATAGAAATCAAAATTATTGTCGATACATGTATCTAACTCTATATCGGTTGGATAGAAATCAAAATTATTGTCGTTACATGTATTTGATCCGGTGAAGACATGTTAATTGGAAAAATGTTAAACAGATATAAAAACTAGAAAAAAAAAATAACTAATAATGAAAATGAAAATTTATAATGGTCTGAGTCAAAAACAAAATTGAGAAAGAAACAATATAAATAGAAAACTAACAAATTAATTATCAAGCAACTAACTAATATTAAGAAAATATAATGAACCGATATTCTAATTTTAAATAGTTTAATTTTCAATATTGTTAGGTAAAAAATTATTAAATAAAGATTTCATCAATTGAAATCTCTTGAATGGAATAATAAAGTTTTGTTGAATTAATTAATCAGTTGATCATATTTAGACATATATAAGTCTTTCTATATTGGATAAAAATAAAAATAAAACAAATTAATTCATTTTTCATATCATGAATTCAAAAAAAATATCAATTACAATAAAAACGGTTACCGATCTTATTTTATTTAAATATTTTTATCGGGTTTTTAATATTATTCTGTTTACTTTAAAATGATCAAATTTGGTTTAATACTTTTCCATGATTTTATTACAAAATCTTAAAATAAACCCGCGTATACGCGGGTCTTAATCTAGTATTATATATTAATCAATGTTAATAAAAGCTTAAAATCTACCATTAGCAATAAAAAAGCATAAATATCTAACAATACTTACATCTAGTTAACCAAATAACGACATCTATTTCTGCATTTCTTTTTATTTTAAATTAAAGACAACACTTTGAACCAAAAAAAAAAAGACAACCCTTTATCAAAAAAATAAAATACATAAATAACGACATCTTTTCTCAGTAATTATTTTGTTTTCTTTTCTTCAGGCTATATAAACTAGCACCATTGGAATGATGATCGATGAATTGATCTAAGAGAGATCCATAATCAAGAAAACAACACACACACAAAAACAGCATTTGTCCCCTTCCGGTCAACATGCAAGAGCTTACTACCACAATCATGTCTCGTTCCTTCCTCCCGACCACTTCTCCTCGGCTTCGACTGCGACCAAGATCATTGGTTCGCATGACCGTTTGCATGGACCAATCACTCAAGGAGAAAATGGTTGTCATTTTGGGAGCCACTGGGACAGGCAAGTCACGCCTCTCAGTTGATCTAGCTACCCGTTTCTCCGGTGAGATCATCAACTCTGACAAGATCCAAGTCTACAATGGCTTGGAGACCGCCACAAATCAAATCACAATACCTGAGCGATGTGGAGTCCCTCACCACTGTTGGTGTTTTAACAAGTATTCAGTTCTGATTATCAATACAGATTACAGGTTATTAGTTATACCTTTGCTGTTTTGATTGTGTTTGATGTTGTGCAGAAAATAAAGAAGACCAAGATATACGAGTTCCCAAGATCAACGTGATCTCAGTACGTCTCGGAGAGCTTACACCAGCTCACAAGGATTATATCCAGTAAACAGAGTACACAAGAGATCTCACACCAAGCTCACGTCACTCACCGAACAGAGATTCAAAACCCCAAAAGAAAAGATAAGTGAATCACTCTTATTATTTAGCTTTTCTCTCTTACTTGTTTTCTCTCTATCTTTGTGTGATTGCTTGCTTCGTGAACTTTTCCTCCTTCTCTCTCTTGTGATGACTTTATACTCTGTATACAATAACCTTCTTCTTACAGCTCCTGCTTTTCTTTTGTCAAAGATCAACACCTATCAATGACTCAACTTCTCTGTTTCCTCAACATGAAGTAAACTGCAGGAGACTAATGTCGTTACTTTGTTGCAGGGTAATCTTCTTATGGGCCTGCTATAACCACGTGGCCCATTACTCCAAAGAAGAAGCCCACCTGCCTGAGCCCAATCTCAATCACGACAATCTCCACCTGATTGGTCTCAGACAGAACTTCCGAGAGATTCACCTCTCTCGTCATCTTCTCCGACTTCACCGTCGCCTTCTCCGACTTCACCGCCGGTCACCTAACTCATCACAGAGCTAGCTTCAGTGCCTAAGCACCTTCAGGTAATCCAATCCCTCTTCGAATTTCTTCACAGGCACTGATTTTGTTAATAAATCAGCTGGATTTACCTTTGTGTTTATCTTAGAAATTTGCAGGGATCCTTCAGCCACTATATCACGAATGAAGTGATATCGAACATCGATATGCTTCGTTCTCTCATGATGAACGCTATTTTTGGCCAAGCAAATAGCGCTTTGTGAATCACAAAAGATTTAAACTTTTTCCTGTGGAAAACCCAATTCACCAACAATCCCTTTCAACCAGAGAGCTTCTTTAGCTGCTTCAACCAGAGCCATATACTCCGCTTCTATCGTTGATAGAGCCACGATATGCTGAAGTCCAGAACGCCAACTGATAGTATTCCCACCAGCCTGAAAGACATAACCGGTAATTGACCTCCTTCTGTCCAAATCTGCAGCATAGTCACTATCACAATAGCCTTTGACTTCAAACTTATCTGACTTGGTGAATGTTAGCTTGAAATCTGTTGTATTCCTTATGTATCGTAACACCCATTTAACTACCATCCAATGATCTTTGCAAGGTGAGCTCATGAATCTGCTTACAAGTCCCACAGCGTGAGCAATATCAGGTCTTGTGCTAACCATAGCATACATGAGACTTCCAACAGCATTAGAATAAGGTATGTCTTTCATCTCAACCTCAGTTTCAGCCATATCCTCTGCCTTAGTACTAGATAGTTTAAAATGAGTACCAATAGGGGTCTGAACTGATCTAGATTCCAACATACCATAATCTTTAAGAACTCTTTCAAGATAATCTTGCTGAGATAATTGAAGAATACCTCTTTTTCGGTCTCTGAAAATATCAATCCCAAGTATTCTTCTAGCTGCTCCGAGATCCTTCATCTCGAATTCTCTACTTAAGATGTGCTTCAGTCTTGTGATCTCCTTGATGTCTTTTGCTACTACTAACATATCATCAACGTATAGTAGCAAGTAAACATAATCCTTGTCACCAAAACACTTGAAATATACACAAGAGTCAAACTTGCTTCTTGTATATTTCTGTTTCTTCATAAACTCATCAAACCTCAAATTCCACTGTCGTGGAGATTGCTTCAACCCATACAGCGACCTCTGTAGCAAACAGACCTGAGTTCCCTTCTCAAACCCTTGTGGTTGTTCCATTAGAATCTTCTCATCTAGATTTCCATGTAGAAAAGCGGTTTTTACATCCAACTGTTCTAATTCCAAATCTTAATCGACCACCATCGACAACACCAGCCGTATAGTTGTATGCTTCACTACTGGTGAAAAAACTTCATGATAATCAATCCCCTCAATCTGAGAAAACCCCTTAGCCACTAACCTAGCTTTGTATCTAGGTTCCTCCACTCCTTTTATTCCTGGCTTGAGCTTAAAAATCCATTTGCACCCAATGGTTCTTTCTTTTTCAGGTCTTTGTATCAGCTTCCATGTATGATTCTTTAGAAGAGACTCCATCTCCTCATTAGTAGCAGCAATCCACTTCAGTCTATCTTTGCACCTTATGGCTTCTTCATAAGTTTGAGGTTCTTCTGCATTCATGCGTTGGAACACATTTAGAGCATAAGCAGCTACATCCTGATCATCAAACCTACTTGGAGGTTTAATTCCGACCCTTCTTTCTCTATCTCTTGCAAGCTGGTAATCTTTAAGTCCTCCTTCATCTGATTCTTCTTCTGAATCTGGAACAATTTCATCATTTCCTGAAGAAACTTCACCTTCTTCTGATGTCTCAGCCTCTGATTCAGAAGATTCACCTTCCTCATTTGGCAGAATAAAAGAGACCTTTTTAACTTGTCTCTTTTCTTTTTCCTTACCCTCTCGTGACACCTTTACTACATCCTTATATAGTATGCCTTCACAGAAAATAACATCTCTGCTGATGATGCATTTTCTTTCATCAATACTCCAAATTCTGTATCCTTTGACTCCATGTGGATACCCCATGAGAATTCCCTTCATTGCTCTAGACTTTAACTTCCCTTGATCAACATGGTTATAACTCCTAGTACTCATATATTTGTCTATTTGAGAATATAATCTTGACTATTATTAGATACAAACCACATAAACTATCGCTAAAGGTAAATGGGTAATACGTGGCCCAAATATTTTTTTTTGGGTTTGGAGTTAGATTCTCAAACCGGTCGGCTCAGCGGCTCTGGTCACGACTCACGAGTACATGCATGCATTGGTTCCCGATCTTCTGATAAAATGAGAAACGTAACTACAGTATATCCCATTTTTAACGTATGTAAATATCCTTTGTTGTGGTAATAAGTTTATGTAATAATTGGAATCTGATTTATAAGAGAAAATGTATGATTTCTTGGCCTAGATCTTGTTTTTTCTCTTGTAGATAATTTGATCATATCCAAGTAGTTGTAGTAGTTTAGAAGTAGTTCAATAATACTAATTGGTAGTTTACATTAATTTTGGTAGTGCAACTCTTGGGGTCAATGTAAAATACACATGGAGTCTCGGTCACCTTAAAATACAAATTTAAAGCAAAATAAGAGAAGCGTTTCATTTTTCCATTTGCTCACAGATTTAATCACGAATGCCAAATTTTAGAAAGATTGGTCTTGTTTCGAACTTAGTTTTATCATTATATATGTTACTGTAAGTGGCAAACAAACAAATCAGGTTCATTTAATTATAGATTCAGATGGACCTGAAATGTGAATTTATGATCATAGACAAAAGATGAGTTGCTGAGCTTCTTCAATGGTCCTTTCTCTATGTAACTATAACGAAAAACATTTAAAACAACAGGTAGTTTTAACTAGAAAAAACACGCAACAAATAATAAATAAATAAATCGTTGACATGAAAAGCCAAAAGCATAAAAGAGGAGGAAGCATAAGATAAATGCAAAATTTAGGGATTTGAGACAGTTACACAGATCCCCAACCCCAACTGAAAAAAAGCTCACCAACTAACAGTCCACTGTCAACACAATTCCCTCAGAAAAGTGTTTTTTTTTACATCTGTTAGACTTGTTCTTTTGTCTGTTAGAAAACAGTAACTCCTCGATTGACTCTTTCTTTGATGGTTATCATCAGGTGACCAGAATCCGACTCGGATGTTTTCTTCATGATCTTTAGGAATCACTCGATGTTATTTTCTAATTTCGAAATGTGAAACGTTTTTGGACAAAATTTTCATGAAACATAAGACTTATATAATGGATGGAATCTAGACTAATAACCAAACATCCAAAGCTACCAAGTGAAATCTACAAATTGTAGACTACAAATAGTTAAATAGAGGTTGACAATCAGTTAATGCGTCCCTAAATACCTTTGGTCAGCGAATTCTGTATTGCATCAGTCACTTATGAATCCATGATTACTTTTACTACAACAATTTATTCAAGATTGGTCCCAGAGTAACTTTTTATTGCTACAATTTTGTAACAGTCCGGCCCACCGGCCCACCGCCGGCCCACCGCTGTTAGAGCTGCAGCCCAATACACCCCAACCCCTCTGGTGTATAAGGCCACAACCACTATACCAACCTAGGTTGTTGGTGAGACTCGAACCTGAGAAAATGGTGAGGTCTCAGGTTCGAGTCTCACCAACAACCTAGGTTGGTATAGTGGTTGTGGCTTTATACACCAGAGGGGTTGGGGTGTATTGGGCTGCAGCCCTAACAGTGTCGGGTCGGCGGTGGGCCGGTGGGCCAGGCTGTTACAAATTTACTCAATTTGGTCCCAGATTACTCGATGATTCTGTTTATTACTACAATTTATTCAAATTGGTCCGAGTTCATTGGAAGAATAAAAAAATAGTAATATGTAGTGTCAAATATCAGCAAATGTGATTAAAATTGTAAACCATTCTGGCCATTCGTATATGTGCTCTACAGTACGAGAATTAAGCTTAGCGGTTTATAACTGATTTTTGTAGTTTAACTTTTAAATGTATGAACAATTTATAGCTGGGTTTTAATGGCTTGTCTCTTTGGCGCTATCTAGTAATGGGTTTAAAAACACATGTACAAGATTTCATTGAACATGTCATTAAATATATATTGATGTATAAGACAAAACATGTCGTTGCCCCATAATTATTTTTTACAAAACTTTCACAATTTATTATAATTACTTTAATTAATTATTAAAATATTAATAATACATTACAGGACTAAAAATAACAGCACAAATTGGATTTTATTTTTAACTAGAACCATTTGAATATTTTTTCCATAAATGTTGTTTTAATAAATTTATTGTTGATGTTATTTCTAATAAAAGTATTTTCCTTTCTTTTCAAATTTATTATTAGCTTTAATAATTAAATTTCCTATCAAATTTGTGTTATTTGTATTGTAGAGAAAAAATAAACATCAAAATAATTAATTATATAACTTAAAGTGAAATAATTTAAAACTTCAAGGATACTTATATAAATTTAAAACTTGAACTCTAAAATGGAAATAAAAATGGGATCATCCCAATTTGGGGAAAAATATGGCATTTTGCCATTTTGAAGTTGAAAATGGGGTTGGGTTGAAATAAAATTACCTTCAAAAATGATAATAAAGGTGAAATATGGGGTTGGGTTGGAGATGTAAACCAAAGAAAACATATTTTTTTAAAAACAAACAAATCTTGAAGAGAAACAAATCAGATGATAATATTTCCTCGCTCCCGGAATGAGTCTTGATGGATGATGCATTACAAAAATGTGATCATGCAAATGGCAACTACCTTTTTCTACATCCACTTGTCTCCTTTGTGACGCACCCAGATCATCCTCGGACACTCCCATTTTTCTGTTTCTTTTTCTAATAAATAACTGAAAAAGAAACCACACGTGTAATTCCTAACTATATAAACATGTGAATTAAAGCCACATAGTTAACTAATTAAATACGTGTGTATATTTGCTTAAAATTGTGTGTGTGTGTGTGTGGGGGTGCGTAAAAACAAAAAGGTGTAGTCTTGTAGACGTGTGCAGTGAAGAAGTAATAGTCTCAAATAGTCATATATGAAAAATGAAAAAGAACACTTGAGGAATGTCATCATGAAGAATGTATTATTCACTGTTGAGTGTCTTCATCACCAAGTTATATTTTCACCATTTATCAGTATCTAATATTTGGGAATACATATATATCATAAGAGCATCTCTTTTAGGCCCTTACTCCCTCTCCACTTGAGGAATGTCATCACGGTAAAATGGTTGCAAGAAAATTTTCATTGAGCTTAATGCAAGAAGACAACTAGAGTCGCATGTTTCAAGGCACGGCAGTTTCCGTATACGTCGTAAAAAAAAAAAAAGTAAAAAAACTGACTACAATTTAGGAAGCTGATGCAACCCCTTGAGCCATGATTAGTTTGTTGTGGCACATGGATGAAAACTTGATTGCATTTGGTTAACTATGGATTGACCGATTGAAATAAGCTAACGGGCCTCTTGAACAGCAAACTTGAGGAGAGTTGCATCGACCATCTTTTTCAACATCTCTATAGCATCATCGACTCTCCCAACCTTAGCATATCCATTGATCATGGATCTAAACGTAGGGACATCAGGAGGACACACGCAGTGGGCAGAGCACATTTCCGCAAACAAATCTTGTGCTTGAGACATCATCCCGCGATCGCAGAAGTTTGCAATGATGTTAGCGTAACACCGAGAGGACCTGGTCAACTCGGGCCTCTTGAAAGTCTCGAGGGCTTCCTTGAAAAGCCCCAGCTTGAAACACGCATTCACCATAGTAACGAAGGTCTCTCTGTCAAAGGTGTTGGAATTGGTTATCATGGAGTGGAAGAGCTTCCAAGCCTCTGCTTGCTTACCGTTGTCGAGCAACATCTCCAAAAGGGTATTCCCAGTGGCCGCACACACTACTTCTTCCCCTTCCCGAGACCTGTAAATCTCCATAGCTTTCTCGTCCTCGCCTTGCTTGAACCAGTAGTCCATAAATGTAGCATCCACGACCGCTCTTCTTCTGCCGGGACCATCGTCAGAGGTTCGGTTCATTTCATCAACTAATTCATAAGCCTTGTCCTTGTTCCCTAGATCCAAGAAGCCGCGGATGAGATAGCTGTATGCCACCGAGTCACTGAGCTCTCTTCTACCCTTTACAAAGATGTGAGCGTCGTCGATCCTCCCGGCGTCGACCAAGACTTTGGTCAACAACCTGATGGTGTCGGCATTTACACAATGACGATTAAACAAGAAGGGACTGCATAGCTTGATTGCGGAGGATCCGAGTGAAGGTTCCCTTAAGAAGCAGTAGTACAGAGCGATTGCGTCGTCGTGCCTTTTGGCGGCACACATGGCGGCGATGATTTCGTTGCGCATGGTCTTCTTCTCCGAATCCGAATCCAAGCCGCGATACTTTTCCGTGACAGCTAGCCTCGAGATTCCTTCCGCCTCTTGCAACTGACAAAGCTCGATCAGTGAGCTGACTCGGAAGCGTAGAGATATAGGACGCTCATCGATGGTCGCCTTCGGATTCAGGTTCGACTTGGTGAATCTGTCCAAGTCGGGTAAAGAGACCATGTGACGCTTTGAGAGAGGGAAATTGTTCTTGTTAATGCGGAGGACGCGGCGGAGGGACATGGCGGCGGCGGACGAGAGATATTAGGGAGTTGAATGTAAATATCATAAAATCTATCTTAGTATATGTTAATATTCCTTTTGTGGAGTTGCCTAGGTTTATGTAACATGTATATATACTCTTGTAAGACATAATAAGAGGGACGACATTCTCTTCTCTCTTTGTCATGGTATCAGAGCAAAGATCCTAAGACATAATATAGAATTCAAATAACCTAGTCAAGTAAGAGATTATGGGGAAGAACGAACCTGCAGGAGGCAGTGGTAAAGACGGGAAAGCTGCGGAAGGCGGCAACGGTAACATGGTGCATGCGGAAGGCGGTGCCAAAGAGATGATGGTGGTCGATAAGGCGATGGTGTCGACCTTGTCTCCACTCTATCTCCATCCATCGGATGGACCAGGGAATTTGATTACAACGGTGCAGCTCAAAGGAGCAAACTATGAAGATTGGGCTAAGCATGTGCGGAATGCCTTGCGTACCAAGCGGAAGCTAGGGTTTGTTGATGGTACTTTAACGAAGCCGACGACGGTCGAAGAGATTGAACAATGGGATGTAGTTAACTCCATGTTGGTGGCGTGGATTATGAATACAATCGAGCCAACTTTAAGGGAGTCGATCACGATGACAGAAGAAGCATGTGAACTGTGGGAAGACTTGAAGATGCAGTTCTCAGCAGGGAACGGACCACGCATAAGTGAACTCCGAGCTGAAATTGCGAATTGTAGACAGAACGGTGATTCTGTTACGGTGTATTTCGGGAAACTGAAAAAGATGTGGGATGAGCTTGCGATCTACAAACCAATCAGAACATGCTCATGTGGAGAACTTAAAGCCCAATTAGAAGAAGATCGTGAGGAAGAAAGGACAAACACGTTCTTGACTGGTTTGAATGCAGAGAGGTTTGCTGTTGTTCGCTCTACAATTCAAAGCATAGAGCCATTACCTAAACTCTCTCAAGTGTATCAACGCATTGTGCGTGAGGAGAGACAACAATCTATGACAAGGAGCAAAGATGTACCAGCTGAAGTTGTGGGTTTCTCAGCGAATGCATACAAGGGTAATTCTTCTCAATATCAACAACGTGAGAAGGACGTGACTTGTACTCATTGCGGCAAGTATGGTCATGCACAAGCAGACTGCTTTCAGCTCAAAGGTTATCCAGAATGGTGGGGAGAACGAGGACGTGATTTTACTGAAAGAGGTAGAGGCGGAGGCACTCGAGGGAGATTTGGAAGAGGTGGTGGTGTTGCTGGACGATCAGGTCGTGGTAGAGGAACAAGCACAAGTGTTGTTGGACGTGGGTATGCAGCACAAGTGCAAAACCAAGAAGGTGTACAAGCAAACCTTGTGAGACAAGAAAAGGACTACGACAGAGCATCTCTTCCTCAGCTGAGTGATGAGCAATGGACCTCACTCTTGAGTTTTCTTTCCTCTAAGAAACAGGAAACCAATGAAAAGCTTAATGGTAAGGCAGAAAGTGGAGAATTTATCATTGATACAGGTGCATCACACCACATGACATGGGATATTGATCTTTTGAGTAATGTTACAAATATTCCTGCTTGTCCTATTGGTTTGCCTGATGGTGATACAGCAGTTGCTACAAAACAAGGAGACTTATGTTTAGGAGGAGATTTGTGGCTTAGAGGAGTTTTATACTCAAAAGATCTTACATGCTCATTGATCTCTGTTGCGAAAGTGCTTAAAGTTATCAAGGGATCAATAACATTTACTGATGAGTTGTGTGTTTTACAGGACCGTACCTCGAAGATGCTGATTGGAGCGGGTGAAGAGAGAGGGGGAGTCTACGTTTTCAGAGGCGTGATGGGTGCAAGGGTGAATAAGGCTTTGAGTCCTGGTTCGTGTGACTTATGGCATCGTCGTCTTGGCCATCCTTCAAGCCGTGTGTTATCTTATTTACCTAGTAGTTTGGATGTTGGAAAATCTGTTGAATCTAAATCTACTTGTGAGATTTGTTTAAGGGCTAAACAAACCCGAGATTCTTTTCATGAAAGTTCGAATAAAGCTATTGGTGTTTTTGATTTGATTCATTGTGATGTGTGGGGTGCTTATCGAACTCTCTCATCATCGGGTGCAGCTTATTTTCTTACCATTGTGGATGATCACTCTAGAGCAGTTTGGGTTTATTTGTTACAAGAGAAGAAAGAGGTCGCAGAAACCTTAAAGAATTTCTTTAAAATGGTGGAAAGACAATTCAACAAAAAGGTGCGTGTAGTGAGAAGTGACAATGGTGGAGAGTTTATGAGTATGAAGTCTTATTTTACTATGGAAGGAATTTTGCATCAAACTAGTTGTGTATACACGCCACAACAAAATGGCCGAGTTGAAAGGAAGCATAGGCATATTTTGAATGTTGCTCGATCATTGATGTTCCAAGCAAGTTTTCCGATACGATTTTGGGGAGAATGTGTTTTGACAGCGTGTCATCTCATAAACCGTACTCCATCTCCACTGCTTGATGGCAAGAGTCCTTTTGAGATATTACATGGAGTAGCTCCAAACTATTCTACTCTCAAGGTATTTGGTAGCTTGTGCTATGCTAGAAAGGTACAAAGAGATACAGATAAATTTGGTGAAAGAAGTCGTCGTTGTGTTTTTATGGGATATCCATTTGGTCAAAAAGGTTGGCGAGTGTGGGATATAGAGAAAGAAGAATTCTTTGTTTCACGAGATGTTGTTTTTGAGGAGAAAGAATTTCCATTTGTATCTGGTCCAAAACAAAGTGTTGTTTCTATACCGATGATACAACAACGAGAGGTTGTTGATGATAATGATTTTCTGGAATTAAGAGAGGAGTTGAATGTAACGACGTCCAACGAAAGGGGGAGTGAAAACGTTAATGAAGAAGAAGCTGTGGTGGAAGAAGAAGCTGTGGTTGAAGACCAGGTTATCGAAACAGCTCCATTAAGGAGAAGTAACAGAGAACGCACACAATCATCTCGTCTTGATGGTTTTGTTCTTTACACTACACAATGCCGAAACGACCCCGACTCTCTCTCTTCTCACTTGTCTCCACCAGCGTCATCGAACTCAGGTATGGTTCAGTATCCTATCTCAAACTATGTAAATTGTGATCGTTTCTCACCGTCACACAGAGCTTTCCTCGCGGCGATTACTGCTGAAAGTGAACCTTCCTCGTTTCGGGAAGCTATGAAAGATAAGCGTTGGAGAAAAGCTGTCTCAGGTGAAGTCACAGCTCTGGAGGATAGTGGAACATGGGATATCACTGATTTGCCGCCTGGTAAAAAGGCTATTGGCTGCCACTGGATATTCACAATTAAGTATCTCTCAACCGGAATCGTTGAACGTTACAAGGCAAGATTAGTAGCATCGGGAAATCGTCAAGAAGAAGGAGTCGATTATGATGAAACTTTTGCTCCTGTTGTCAAGATGACTACAGTAAGAATGTTTCTTAAAGTCTCAGCGGTGAAAGGATGGGAGGTTCATCAAATGGATGTGCATAATGCATTTTTGCATGGTGATCTTCTTGAGGAGGTTTACATGAAACTACCTCCCGGCTTTGAATGTTCTGACAAATCGAAAGTGTGTAAACTAAAGAAGTCTTTATATGGGCTTCGTCAAGCTCCACGGTGTTGGTTTTCTAAACTAACTACAGCTCTCAAAGGGTATGGATTCATTCAAAACGTTTCCGATTATTCTTTGTTTACCCTTACTCGTGGAACTATGAGACTTTATGTTCTCATTTATGTGGATGACTTGTTGATTGGAGGGAATGATCCAGAGGCTATTATCAAGTTCAAAGGCTACTTGAGTCAATGCTTTAAGATGAAAGATTTGGGATTGGTGAAATACTTTCTTGGTATTGAAGTCTCACGCTCACCGGAGGGGATTTATTTGTCCCAAAGGAAGTATGCTATGGACATTGTCAAAGAGTGTGGTTTGTTGGGTTGTCAGCCAGTCACAACTCCAATGGTACAAAACCATAATTTAGCTAAAGATGAGGGTGACTACTACAATGACCCACTTCGCTATCGAAGATTGGTTGGTCGACTGGTTTATCTTACTCATACACGTCCAGAGTTGTCTTATGCGGTGCATATGTTGGCACAATTTATGAAAAATCCTCGTATTAAACATTGGGAAGCAGCTGTACGAGTGGTTCGTTATCTTAAAGGCTCTCCGGGACAAGGCATTATGTTGAGTTCGAATAATGACTTGCAGATCAAGGCATATTGTGATTCTGATTACAACGCATGTCCTATGACGCGTCGTTCTCTCACTGGTTTTATGGTGTTGTTAGGCGATTCTCCTATTGCTTGGAAGACAAAGAAACAAGACACGGTCTCGTTTTCATCGGCGGAGGCGGAGTATCGCGCGATGGGTTTCACTACTCGGGAAATCAAGTGGAACCGTGAGTTGTTGGCATGCTTTGGTATCTCTCATCCACAGGCTATGCATCTCTTTTGTGATAACAAAGCAGCGTTACACATTGCTGCTAATCCGGTGTTCCATGAACGAACAAAGCATATCGAGAGAGATTGTCACTTTATTCGTGATGAGATTATCAAAGGCTCACTTGCTACTTCTCATGTTCGTACCAATGAGCAACTGGCCGATATCTTTACCAAGGCCTTGGGCTTTCCCCAGTTCTCATATCTTAGACGCAAGTTGGGCATTCGAGACTTACATGCTCCAACTTGAGGGGGAGTATTAGGGAGTTGAATGTAAATATCATAAAATCTATCTTAGTATATGTTAATATTCCTTTTGTGGAGTTGCCTAGGGTTTATGTAACATGTATATATACTCTTGTAAGACATAATAAGAGGGACGACATTCTCTTCTCTCTTTGTCAAGAGACACTGTGGGACAGACATACGTATTTTTACTCTCTTATTTTATTTTTATTTTTTTCCATATATATTAATATTATTTGGTTCCATATTAAAGAAAAGAAAATATCTGATTTTCCCTAACTGGAAGTCTTTGCCGTGTCCTCCAAGATTAACTGGAAGTCTT